TCCCTAACAGAAAACTAACAGAAAACTAGGCAAGATAAATCAAAGAGACAAATTGTCATTAGTGAAGACATAGTTTCTTCCAAAAACATTATCCAAATGATGGAAAAACATCACCTTCTCAAGAACATCCCAATTTTAGAAGGCACGTGCTGCAGATCCAGATACAGTCAGTTGAGAACACTTAACCGAGACTCTCTGTGACGTGCAGCAAGTGCTGAATTATTCAGAATTTAATAAATGTAGGGATAAATATTTGATGTGAAATTATGGATGCTTCTACAAATATCTCAGGAATGAAAAACTGATCCAATGTTAGCATTAGAACTCGGGCTGCTTTTTCTGGCACAGCATTTTCTTCTTCTTCTTCTTCTTCCTCCTCCTCTTCTCCTTCTCCTTCTCCTCCTTCTTCTCCTCCTCCTCCTCTTTCTTCCTCATAAAAATAATCACAATCGCAACTGTCTTTTTTGTAGCCCTTGTGTAGTTCTCAGTCTGGATCTTAGCTTTTATCTCACTTTTTCCCTCCTGAAAACTGAGCTTCATCCAGTTTAAACACAATCATTATATTTCTTTATGTTTTTGAATAAGCATCCCATAATGGACATCCTTTACTGGGTGGGGAGTTTGAGTCTTATAGTAAAATATACCTGGTAGACATCGTACAGGTGTAATCTTCAATTGGTTTCCTCTGGTGTCCAATTTTCAAAGTTTCATCCTATGTTTTTGTGTATTTTTTTAAGAACTCAAGAATTTCCTACAGAAAGGATTCTCATAATTAATTTCAAAAGCTTCTTGCCAATCCATTTGGACCCCTAAGTTCATTTGTAATTTTCCAAAATCCACATTCTAATCACTCTTTGGCTGTTTATTCCATTTTTTAAAAAAGTCCTTAAGTTTATATGCAAAACTTCTTTCGCTAACGATTGAAGGAAACTCACCAAGCGCTGTCCAAAACCTATCAGTAAAAAGGTTTTTAATAGCTGAAAAATAGTTAACAAAGGATTTCTGGACAAGGATATTTATGGGGTCCTTGGTGCTCTCTGAGGTTGGTTGTTTCCTTGCAAATGCTTCATTACCAAACTGGGTAATATCATCAGTGCTAGAAGGAAGTGGAGTTTACAGGGAGGAAGAGGAGGAGGAGGAGAGGAGGAGGAGGAGGAGGAGAACTATGAGTCCTTGGTGTTCTCTGAGTTTAGTTGCTTGCCTACAAACATTTCATTACCTGAGTGGATAACTTCATCATGGTAGAAGGGAGTGGGGTTTGCGGAGAGGAGGAGGAGGAGGAAGACGAAGAGGGCTGTGAGTCCTTGGTGTACTCTGAGTTTAGTTACTTGCTTACAAACGTTTCATTACCCAACTAGGTAACTTCATCAGTGGTAGAAGGGAGTGGGGTTTGCAAAGAGGCGGAGGAGGAGGAAGAGGGGGAGAAAGAAGAATGTGGGGTCCTTGGTGCTCTCTGAGCTGGGTTGTTTTCTTGCAGACATTTCATTACCAAACTAGGCAACATCATCAATGCTAGGTTAGAAAAAGATGTCTGTGAAACAAGGACCATCAGCCACGATTTGAACAAGATGGCTATTACTTCTCCTCACAAGAAGTGATTGCCTGGAGCACTTGTGGGCAATCTCAAGTCCTTTCCTTGTTTGGAGAGGAATTACAAAGAGCCCAGGATGTTCTCCAGTTCTTTATTCTTCCCAACTCTTCATTCTGCTTTTAGTGGAGCTGTCTTCAGTTCGCCATTCCCCCTTCCCCCCGGAAGTCCTGATAAATAATAAAATCTGCAGTTCATTGAGGCAGAGACTATAAAAGACACAAAAGGGAGAAGAAGGGGAGAAAAAAAAGAATGGATACAGCAGAAATAGGGCGGTGGGAAATGTATCGCTTTAGAATTTGGGTAGTTATATCTTCCTCGAGCAAAGGCTGCCGAGGCGGCATCTTTACAAAGAAAGGCTGATAAATTAATATTTTAGAAAAAGCGTACACGCGCGGCCAAAATATAAAGGGTAAGAAAATGAAGAGAAGGCGTTAAGTAAAATCCAGGGCAGGGTTTCAACAGATTGAACATTTATTTATGGAGATAGTAGCTAGAACGGTTGGTGGTCGGTCTGATCTCAAATGGCTTTGAAGTGAGTGAAAGGAACACATTAGAACAGAAAGTCCAAGAATAGAAGGCCAATGTGATGTATGAAGCTTAGGATATCGTTCTAGAACCAAAGACAATTCAGATTCATGATCTATTCTGAACCTTGGAAGGTGTCATTTTTGGTCTGAAATGGTATGGAATCTCCTGCTCAAGCAGTAGGGTGGACTAGAACAGGGGTCCCCAACTACCGGTCCGTGGACCGGTACCGGTCCGTGGAACAAATCCTACCGGGCCGCTGGTTTGCTGGGCGCCGCCATCTTGTTTTGATGAAAAAGTGCTTCCGGTGAGCTCAAGATGGCGGTGCCCAGCTGATGCCGGTACCGGGCCGCGGCGCCCAGCTGATGCCGGTACCGGGCCACGGCATAAAAAAGGTTGGGGACCACTGGACTAGAAGACCTCCAAGGTCCCTTCCAACCCTATTATTCTATTGTGCTTTGTCTCTAGGTGACCCTGGACCAACAACTTTCATTTTCTACCTCTCTGATTTTGTTCACACAACACACATAACAGTATAACAGAGTTGGACGGGACCTTCTGAGGTCTTATAATCCGACCCTAAGTAACTAGTTAGCTACTGAATGAATCCCATTTTCTAGGTGGGTGCACAAACCCCTAATCCAATGTGGCTTGAGTAACTGGGAAAAATATTGTTCTTCATTCTGAGATTCCCAGAAATATCCACATGGACATGCTGAATTCTGAAGCAGTTCCTTCTTCTGCCTGACTCTGGAGGCTCAAATAGTTCTTCAAGCTTGAACGTTAGCCAGGGCTGGGATTCAAACAATTTTACTACTGGTTCTGTGGGTGTGGCTTGGTGGGCGTGGTGTGGCTTGGTGGGCGTGGCAGGGGAAGGTTACTGCAAAATCCCCATTCCTTCTTCACTCCTGGGGGAAGGTTACTGTTGTGGCTAGCCGGCAGCAGATGAGTATGGCTGAGGAGAGCGAGGACTCAGATGAGGGGCCAGGACCATTAGGGAGTGGACTCTGCTGCCTTCAGAGATTGTGGTGGCTGGCAGCAGCGATGAGGAGGTTCCCGAGGAGCCTGTGCCAAGTGTGCGTGCGCACAGGATTGCTCGCAGGAAAGAACAGCTGCAACAGCATGGGCGACTTGGGAGTAAGGCTGCAATGGCCCCTCCTTCAAGAAGATAAAAAGCAGCTGTGAAGCGAATGTTCTTTGCAGGAAGCAAAGACATTTTGAAACTCAGCCTTGTGGACATTACAATATCTTCAGTTGGTATTTGAAGACTCTTGTGTTGTGAAATATTTCTTATCTGTGATTCCTGACAGTCTCGTACAGTTTTGGCAAGGTTTGTGCTTATCAAAGTTAATTTGTTTGCAGCAGCCTTTTAACCAGGGATTCGTAGGACTCATTAAAAGGTTTCTGTTCCCTTTGGTTATTGTTTGTCTTATTGGAAAAGGGTTTGGGTCAGAACACTAACCTGCTTTCCAGCTCCTTTCTCCTGTGCAGGGCAACCAAAGAAGACCCAGCCAATCAGCTGGGATTCGGGAGGCAGAGAAGCGATGGGGGCGGGGCCAGTCAGAGGTGGGATTTGCCGCTTCTCTAAACTACTCAAAATTTCCACTACTGGTCAGAACCTGCTGTATACCCACCTCTGACGTTAACATTGGAGAAGCTTTCACCACATAATTGTTAATTGTTTAGCAATTCTTCTTCAAGCCTTAGGATTCTTCTTCTTTTTCCCCCCCCTCTGTTCTATGAACTAGATCATTTTCTTTCTGAGTCAGGACACCTCAACTGTCAGGGCATGCTTATTTATTCATGTGTAATGCTCTAATGGCCACTTTCTAATTTCTCTCTTAAAAAAAAAAGGAAATAAATAGCTTGACTGGAAATCTTTTTGTGTTCCTCCAGAGTTCTGATTTGACAGACCTCTGAGGGTCATTCTTTCCCTAGAGTTTAATGGAGGAAGATTGCTAAAGGACACTTTCATAAGCTCTCCAAGCGGAGGTCGTGCCATGGCCTTCCTATCTAAATGAAGATATTTGGAGCCCAGCTTTGATGTTCACTCAGGGGCAGCTGAGATGAACAACGATCTGCTTTTAGTGCTGCTTGAGGCAAGAATTCCTCCCACACTCATTGTGAAGCTGGAAGCATTTGCCAAGCTGCTTCCTTTTCATTTTTATTTTATTTATTTTTTAATGTGGACCTTTGTTCAGTATCTTCTCGGATACGCTAACAGGACCAGATCAGTAGAACTATTTAGAAGCAATTCAACTCTGCAAATTATCTAAGTGGGGGGAAACAGTCCAAGGAGAAACAGAAGAGCGTTTTCTTCTTTCTCATATTTCTGCTTGGTTGTGTGAACTCTTGTTTGCATTCCTAGCCTTTTATCCAGGTCCGTGAGGGGATCTGCAGGGAGCCCAGAGAGAATGCTAGCTCTAATTTGATAAATAAGAACTGGATTTCCTTTCAAAGGAGAAGATAAATTTGCTGATTTTTTTTCTGAGGTCGAATGTTTTTATTAAAAGACCAAAAGAGAGTGAAACTGTCATATCTTTCACTGTACAGTACCATCTTCCTTCCTTCCTTCCTTCCTTCCTTCCTTCCTTCCTTCCTTCCTTCCTTC